TCGGTTTTATGCGAGTGAGGTAAGTAAATTTATGGTAATGCCCGTACAGTTTTTAAAAGCATGTTTTGATTTGTTTTTGAAGTGGTGGCGAGACTAAACCTGTTTTATACAAAAGAAAGTATGATTGATTTGAAGTGAAATTTTTATGCTTTTCATTAAATTGAGCATGCCTACTTGAAATTTAATTGATTGTCCTGATGATTTGAAAGTGATTGGTGAATTATGATTTTTCTGTTAATTTCTACTTGTTTTGTTTCCGATGTGGTCATGTTATTAGTGACCTTGCTAGTGGGGGTTAAACGCTATCACATGTCGACATGTTATTGATAGAACTGGTTCGTTTCTATTGCCCTGCTAGTGGGGATTATACACCAGCAAATACTGTAGCCTGTCAGTAGGAGGTTTATAACACTGGTCGTGACCTATAGAGGAGACGTGTATTTCGTTCCTGTACTGTATCTATTTTTCATAATTGCACTTGTTGGCATGCTATAAATTTAATAAGGGCACTCCATATTTACTTACTGAGTTTATCTCATAATTTTTCCTTGTCCATCATTTTAGGAAGCGAAACCGAGGACGGAGAAACCACAGGAAGTGACGAGTTAAAATGCTAGCCATCTCGTAAATTGAGCATAGATTTAGATATAAATTATGATCTTGTAAACTCGAGTGTATTTGGAGATTTTATGATACCAGAGTAGATTTTAAGATTTTATCTTCAGATTTTTGTGGTATCAGATTGTGATATGATAAGTTCCGAGCCTTGTGCATTTGTGGGACCCTCTCACGAGTGCACGGCGTCTGTCGCATCCCCGGATATGGATTTTGAGGCGTGACACCTCCGGTACGACAAAGTGTGATATCATTGACAAACGCTCTTGCCATATTGTGCGTCGTCAGAGGGTGATCTTGGTTGTTATTGTCCATCGAGCACCGCACCACCATGCAAATGTAGGGTTGCAAATGTTACTGGCTTCACGCTAATGCACCGAACTGCGTTGACTCTCTGTTCACTTTCAAGAGTTAGTGAGATAAAATATGTAGAAATCTAACCTTTCTTTCATTGCCAAGAGTCAGTGTGATGAAGATATGCAAAGATATGTAACCTTTTACCCATCGCTGGATGCTAAATAAGATAATAAATTTGGTCCTTTGTCCATCACTAAGAGCTATAAGATGTAGCAGCAAATATAGTTGTGAGGGACTTACCATCAAAACGTCCAGCCATGTATATAAAAATGGATGCTACAGTGGGCTATATTTTATGATATTTTTAGTGAAATAGATGAATATTGCTTCTGGCAATGTTGATTCTGTTACAGCAAAAACTAAGAATAACGTGTCTAATGTGAAGAATAAGTCTTGTGGGCTTTTGCTAACGTGAAACCGCACATCATCGATCATAATCATACAAATTCATCTCTTAACAATCTCAAAAAAATTCTTTCTTAAAATTAAGTTAATGTTCAATCTTTTTTTATAGATATCTAATTATATTTTAATATATATATAAAAAATTATTTATTAATTCTTTTTACTCGACGAAAACTCATAGTTTGCCATGTGCACCGTTGGTCTCCATCATAAGTGCACATGT